ATACAGAATTTTTTCTAAAACGCATTGTAAGTACCCAATTAAAATAAATTAAATTATTATATATAAATCAATTAATATATTATTACATTATAATTAAGGTATTTAAAAGAAAATGTAATTAAACTGTCTCTTCGAGTGTACTTCTGGCAAATATATCGTACCTCTAAGCGCGTTATTAAAATCAAATCATTTACTAATCATAAAGTTATGCGCATCTCTAAAACATCAACAAACATTTTTAATCGACAAACTGACATTTACTATTATCATTCTACACAAATAATTTTGATTTTTTGAATTAGTTCAAATAAAGCAAGTGTATTATTTATTCAAATAATTGCTTTGCAAACACACAATTTATAATTAGTGCAAAAATTAAATAATTCTCAGTGTAATAATCGATTAGTCGTTAAATATTTAGTATAATAACAATTTATACTAAACTTTTTTTTTAAGGTAATCATTAGTACAGCTAATGCATTGAATTAATCATTTAGTAAATATTACTGATTAGTCAATCAATTTAATGCATAACAGTCTTTTTAGTTCACAAATAACTTAAAAGACAAATGTGGGCTTGTATGGGGGCAGTTAGGTGACTATGCTCTCTAAATTAGCTGACGGTGTAACTATTTTCATTACATTTTACTTAACTTAATATAATTATCAACTAAACTGCCTTAAACTAGACACATACGCGCATAAGTACATATGTATTTTTTTCTAAATTATTTGTTCTTTTTCTATAACATGCTTTGTGCTTAGAACCTAAGCAATGTAACTTAGTATTTAGTGAATACAATAGCGATACGTTTTGTTCTTTTTAACTTTGTGGCGTGTTTTAATTTCGTTTATCCACGTCTGAATCGGTTGCATAGAATCCATATAGTCTGCTTCTGATGATATTCCAGGGAGAGATAATTTTTTGCTTAAGGCGCTCTTACTACGCGTAGCAGCTTTTTAGGCGCTTTGACAAAATAAAATGTTACTTTATGTGTAGCTTTCGAAAAAATCCAACATTGAGTTTTCTAATTCAAATTAACGTTGACTTGGGACTGAAGAAAGAGTTTTAATTTTGCGGTATATTGAAGCTAAAATTATGTTGTTTAGAATTGAAGAAAAGAGCTGCCAAATTAATTAGTGTAGTTGTCAAATGAGCCGAGATACTCTAAAGCGGCGCGGTAGCAGAAGTGATATTGATCCTAAAATGGAAAAATTTTGAGTTCATAACATTCAGCTTATCAAAT